ACTGGACACCATCAAATTAGGCCTGACTAAAGACTGGGAGTGGATGGGTCATTACACAAATGAAAAACTATTTCCCCATGCTAATTTTCCCCCCTACTGTTACTCACACCTTCTTGTCAACTGTTTGAAATGGGCCATCCTGATTACCACTACAAAAGTGATTTTTCCTCCTGCTGATAATAGCCCACTTTAATTGATTTGTCTCATTAGAGTTGGTAAGGCAACCCCCATCTTTTCATGTTCTCTCTGTGTGTGTGTATATCTATATCTATATATATATATGTATCTTCCTATTGTATTTTCCACTCCATGCACCTGATGAAGTGGGGTTTAGCCCATGAAAGCTTATGCCCAAATAAATTTGTTAGTCTCTAAGGTGCCACTCCTTGTTCTTTTTACTTTATAGGGGTGTTTGTGAAAGTGCAGTTCAGCAGCCATTCATTTGCCACTTGTCCTCCTCGGGAGTTATAAACTGAGTGGGAATGTTCTGAAATCTGATGCTCTATAAGGCAATAATTAAATGATACCGGAGCTCTCCAGGCTGCTTGTCAAGAAGATGGCCCCGCATTTCTGTGCCTCTATCTGAGTGTACGCTCCTTCAGGGCAGGGTGCTTGGAGACACTTGCCTTCGTTGTATGATTTCTTATGTGGATACTTGCGAGGCCGTGTCTGGCGCAACGTTGCTACTTTTGTGCGGTGGCCATGGATTGAGGGAAGGGGGGTGTGGCTCTGATCACGTCGGTACCAGCAATGGCAGATCTGGGGTTAGGCTACAGGGCAGAGTGGAATGTCTGTAATAATATAAATGCTGTGAGAGCAGCTGTGAATTAGGGTTTATGGGTTCACTGGGGATGCATAAAAGCTAATGGCTCCCCAGTAAGACTTCCTCTCCACTCCCCTAGACAGACACTTCCTCCCTTTAGGGGGGACTCTCCTTCTGAAAACCCATCATGGATTCCTAAGTACACCCTCTGCTCTCGCATCTTTGATCCTTCTCTCAAGTGTGATAGGCCAGGCCACTCCAGGGGGCATTTCCATGGCAGCATCAGCTGTGAGCTACGCCATCTCTGACTCATCCCTCTTGGACTATGGGGCCTGGAAACCCAAGTGTTCAAATGTCACAGAGGAAGCTTTTGGTCCCCCGTAACTGCACACAGACACTCACAAGTCAAGTAACACCCTTCCTTCACACCTGATTTATTATCCACCATCACTGCAGTCAGCATCAACTTGTCTCAACATGAATCTGAACAGTTGCTGCCTGAAACCTGGCTCCTGGTGCCTAGTTGTTAAAGCCTCACTCTCCCATTCACACTTCTGCAGGTGCTTCCTACCAGGTCTTTTGCCTGGCTAGTTCAGACAGCCCCTTCCCTGACTCTGGGCCTCTCTTCTCCATTCAGACCAGCTCCCTCTTATGGGAAGTGCCACCTCTAGGTTGCCATCATGAGACCCGAAGTCACCTGAGCCCACCACGGGCTCAAGCCTTGAAACCAGCACCAGTGACTCCATGTGTCCCCAGGAGTGTTACAACAAGTAACTTGCCTTAATCCACCCTTGGATGGGGTGATGAGAAGAGATTAAATGAATGGTAAAATGGCTAGGGAGGAGCTCCGATCTGAAGTGGGTGTAGGCTGGGATGGGTCGAGTCATTTCCACAAAGCAGATCGATCCCCTCCCATCTTTGAGAAAGCTTGCTTGACTGTGTGGTATTTAAGGGGGTGGGCGTGGTTTCTCCAATGTATGTCTACGGGGTACGTTCAGGCAAAGCTGGGTGGCAAGGCGGGTGAGCGAAGGGCTTGCACTGTGATTTCAGCTGTTTGGGGCATGCTTGGACTGTGGAATAAGTAGCCCAGCATAAACCTGTCCTAGAAAAGCGAGCTGCGTTTGATAACAGGTGCCAGCAATGGCATCCACTCCCGTAGCCCATTGAGCAGTCTCGCTAGGGTGGACAAGGCCAGCTGAGCTCAACACCCCATGTAGCTGGACACCCGTTTGAACGTAGTGCCTGGCACACTCTGCGGCAATCAGGAGTGACCTCAGAGGTCCAGGCCAATGGGGAAAATAGCTGTCAACACCGTGCAAAGTGGTAACGGGGGGGAGCCATTTTGGCCCCTGGTTTAAGCTGCGGCTGCCCCAGGTGCAGGCAAGGCCAAAGCCACGGAAGATTTTGCCAGTAGATAGACAAAGGAAACGAGTTGCTGGCCCCATCTACGCAGGAGTTTTAGCTGTGCTCGGAATCTGTTTGTAAAAGGGTTGTTGCTTAGATAGCTAAGATACTTAGCTTAGATAGCTAAGAGTAGGCAGCCTAAGATGGTTTTCTGGCTGCTGTTATCCAGGAGGCAGACCGGCTGGATCTCAATGTAGGAGATATCATGCTTATAAGCACAAGCCATGTAAGACACACCTCTTCTTGGGGTAAAATGGTCGGTATTTTTGCCTGGCCAGACACAACTTTTCAGGGTGGCCAGCCAGGCAAAAATACAGGCCATTTGACCACTCTGGTGGTGGGAGGCTGCCCAAGCCAGCTGGGGCTCATTTGTTGAGCCCTTCTGAAAAAGCGGCCCCCAGGATATGCCGACACTGCACAGTTAACCCAGGCATCTGCCTTATACCTGGGTGGGTTAGCCAAGCCCAGATCTGAGCATGCCCACGGCAAAGCCTTACCTATGTCACTGTGCCCTCTTTGCTTCTGCACTCACCCCTGGGTGCCCAGATCCTGTGCTCCTGTGTGCTGAGACACCCTGAGTCTTTCCCAGGCTACTGTGTCACTTGCAGGGGAACTTGACTTGTCCTTTGGGAGGACTATCAGCCGGTGATTTAGCCAGGGTCCTAACTGCAAAGAGAACGGGTTCCAGCCCAAGTGAAAGCAGGGCCTGGGTTGTAACTAATACCCCTGGCCAGGGAAGCTAGTCTTAAAGCACCTCCAAACCCAGCTCAGAGCGTTTTCTGTGTGGAGGGTACAGGGGGTTGGGCTAAAACCCAGATAAGAGCCCGGGTTAACCATACAGTGAAGATGGGTGACTTGCCCACTACCCAGAATCACAATGAGTCTGTGGCAAAGCAGGGAATTCAGCCAAGGTCCCTCCCTGAGTCCCCCTCCAGTACTTCCTTTCCTGTGTATCTACTTTGCAGGGTTTCACTAATTAATTATTTCAGATGCTCTGAAATCCTCAGCTGAAAGGTGCTACAGAGGTGCCGAGTGTGAGCATACCAAATATTGAGAATGGCAGGCAATCTTGTACCATAGATTTGTTAACGGTAAGTTCGTGCTTTCATTATTGTCCTGAACTGGGGCCTGAATTAGTACACAAAGATCAGCCATTAGCATTATTAAACCATAGATAGTTGGGAAACAAAATTAAATGCAGGCAACGCTGGTTCCATTCTTTAATTTCAGAGCAATGCTACAGTTCAGTGTGGCTCCCAGGTGAATGCACTGAAATCACCCTAACTCAGAACAGCCGGTCAGTATTTAATGTTGCTGGATTTTTATTTCACCCTATTAACTTCACATCCTACAAAGGAACTTAATGAAGGGAAAACAAATGTGTTGCACTTTGGAGAAACAAGATATCAGAGTTGGTTGGGAGTTCAGTACTCAGAATACATATAATAAAGGGCTTGGATTATACTATTCCATCTTATTGATTAGCAACCACACTCAGAGCGCAAATTGGCTATTTGTAGCTATTTAGCACTCTTATATCGCATCATTAGTACAAGGACATTAAGGTAGCAGCTTGGGGTGGGGGTGGGGGCTGGCATAATAGGTCATTGGTTCAAATCCAGGCCAGATTAAAAGTCATTACTTTTTGGTTAATGAATAATTTCCCCTCTTCTCACACATTCTACCTAAGGATCTCGAATGCTAAAGAATAAAATCTCAGCACCCTTCTGATGAAGGCAGATGGGGAAACTGAGGCAGAGGCAAAGTGACTTATGAAAGCTCAAACATCAAGTTGGTGGCAGACCCAGGAAGAGAACCCAAGGTTCCTATCTCATGGTGGAAAACAATGATTTTTCTCAGTCTCAACCATTTCCAAAGTTTGACTAGCCCAAGAGGCAACTACAAGGCACCCTGTGGTACTCTATGAAATTGCCAGGCATGCTGTAACCAGGGTGTAGTGTGATGTAGCGCTTACGAGCTCTAATAAGACATATGAAGATGGGCAGTGCAAAATGAGGTGGTGTTTCTTACCCTGCTGCAGTGTGGTTAACAAAATGGCTTCGGTCGTTACCATGTCATGATCTCTCCATTTCAGATCCAGCCATCCGTATGCACCTAGTTAAGGACGGGGTTATCCAGGCTTTGAAATAGCTGGCACACACCTTTCTGAAGCTACTGGCTCATACTCCGGAATCTGTTCCATTTAAAAGGAAAATGAAGGCCTTCACTAGAAACTTTTGCCAGGATAGTGATTTTGCTTTCGGGGGTGTGATGATTTTTTTTTTAAGGACATTTTTATACGGGGAAAAGCCCGAGTGTAGATGCAGTTTTACCGACACCATGTCCTTCTGTCAGGATAGCTTATTTCATTCATGGAATTGGTGTAAGCTGTATGGACAAAAGCATTCTGTTGCTGGGATAAACTGCATCTCCGTGGTGCGGGGAGAGGGTAGCCGGCGCAGCACTACCAGCAAACCCTTTACAGTGTAGACAAGATCTGAGAGCTTGTCTGCACTTGAAACACTACAACAGCACGGCTGCAGCTGCTCCATTATAGCACTTCAGTGTAGACACTCACTGCAGCGACAGGAGGGCTTCTCCCGTCAGCGTAGTTAATCCACCTCCCTGAGAGGTGCTAGTTAGGTTGTCAGAAGGATTTTTCTCTTGAACTACCACTGTCTACCTTGGGGTTACGTCAGCTTAACTACCTTGCTCAGGAGGTGTGGATTTTTCACACCCCGAGTGACATAGCTGGTTCGTCTTAACTTTTGAGTGCAGACCTGGCCTGCGTCTCTAGCTGTTATGGTTGCTAAGAAAACGTGATCCAAATGTAATGGATGTGTTGCTGAGTGTGCAGAAAGCCTGGAACAACAGCTCCGAGAAGTGTGCAACACTGCATTCATCTCAGGATTTGTCTGCCCTGGAGCTGAAAGGTGTAAGTTCCAGTTTAGGCAGACATACCCGCACTAGCTGTGATCGAGCTAACATGCTAAAAATAGCAGCGTAACCACCATGGCACAAGCCACGGGACAGACTGGCCATCCTCAGTATGATCTTTTCTTAAACCCTAGGTATGTTCTCAGGGCGGCTATCCCCTCCCGCTGCCCTTGCAGCCCTGGCTGCTATTTTTAGCTCGGTAGTCAAGTACTCAAATACCCAGTAAAGATCATTTAAATATCAGTGCTGTTAACTATTTCATTCCATAGGTCTGGACTACGCAAATGCTTGTACCAGAATAACATTTTTGATTATTCGGGTTGATTTTTTACCAATGTAGTTATACCAGTGCAGCTCCCAATGTGGATGCAGTTATACCACCGTGAAAGTGTCTGATACCAGTAAGGCCTTGCTTGCTACCCTCTAATGCCAGCCCTAGCTTTTATATGTAGAAAATAGTTATTGTGGCACAGGTGGGCTATGGAGTTTTTATAGCATGTTGGGGGGTGGGGGTGGAGGCTCATAAGAATGGCCCTACTGGGTCAGACCAAAGGTCCATCTAGCCCAGTATCCTGTCTTCCAACAGTGGTCAGTGCCAGGTGCCCCAGAGGGAATGAACAGAACAGGTAACCATCCAGTGATCCAACCCCTGTCGTCCATTCCCAGCTTCTGGCAAACAGAGGCTAGGGACACCATCCCTGCCCATCCTGCTAATAGCCATTGATGGACCTATCCTCCAGGAACTTATCTAGTTCTTTGTCTACATTGTAATTACAACTGTGTTAAGGAATCCAGTTACAACACAGTTGCATCTAGGCCACGTTGTTATAGAACCATAGAAATATAGGGCTGAAAGGGACTGAGAGAGGTCATCTAGTACAGTGGTTCTTCACCTTTTTTCATTTGCAGACTCCTATGAAATTTGGACTGGAGGTGCAGACCCCTTTGGAAATCTTAGACATAGTCTGAGGACCCCAAGGGTCTGTGGACCACAGGTTGAGAAGCACTGATCCATCCCCTCTCGCTCATTCCCACCTTCTGGCAACAGACGCTAGGGACCCCATTCTTGCCCACCCTGGCAAATAGCCATTGGCCTCAAGAAAAAAAACCTTGAGAACCCATGCTCTACTCAGCACCGATGAGGCCTCAGCTAGAGTACTGTGTCCAGTTCTGGGTGCCGCACTTTAGGAAAGATGTGGACAAACTGGGGAGAGTCCGGAGGAGAGCAACAAAAATGATCAAAGGTTTAGAAAACCTGATTTAGGAGGAAAGGTTAAAAAAATATGTTAAGGGCTGTTACAAAGAGGACAGTGATCAATTGTTCTCCACGTCCGCTGAAGGTAGGAAGAGAAGTAATGGGCTTAACGTGCAGCAAGGGAGATTTAGGTTAGAGGTTAGGAAAAGCTTTCTAACTATAGGGGTAGTGAAGCTCTGGAAAAGGCTTCCAAGGGAGGTTGTGGAATTCACAGGAGGATTTTAAGAACTGGCTGGACAAACACCTTTCAGGAATGGTCTAGGTTTACTTGGTCCTGCCTCAGCGCAGGGAGCTGTATTGGATGACTTCTCAAGGTCCCTTCCAGCCTGCCACTTCTATGATTCTATGAAGACATGGATGGTTCTCATTTGATAAATTTACAAATGGAATTATATGATGTGGTCGCTGAGGATAACAGGGGATTGGACCCGCTGACCCAAGCGGTCCCTTCCAGCATAGGTGCTCAAACTGGGCATGCTAGGCGGCCTGCCACACCCTCAGCTTGAAGTGGGTTCCATCATATACAGGGTTTAGAGTTTGGTTCAATGGCTCTCAGCACCCCCACTATACAAATTGTTCCAGCATCCCACGTCCTATGTTCCTTTCACATATACCCCTTTTATACTAGTATAACTCCATTGGGTCAGATTCTGTGCTGCACCTCAGAGCTGATGCAGCACTGGAGACTGAGGGAAAAGGTGGCTTTACCCCCCGCTCCCTTTGTGCTACCTTAATTCTGGCATGGTTAAGGGCCTGCCCAGCTCAGTGTTCCCAGGGGCTGCTCTAAGTTATGGAGGTCATGTATAACTGCCTATGAGCGGCTCTGCTGTCCAGAGCCTTCCTGCCATGCCTCTGATCCAATCTCTCTCACCCCTGGGAACACCCCAGTACCCCGGGCTGCACAGGAAGGCAGAGTAAGGCAGCCTACAGCACCTCTAGGCTGGAGCGGGAAACCTCCCATGCCAGGTGAATTCCCCAGGGATTCTATCAGAGCAGCATAACGGGGCCATAGTGGGGGAGACAGAATTGGAGCCACTGGCTTTAGTGCAGTGACTCCTGCTTCATACCAATGTAAATGAAAAGAGAATCAGTCTCTGGATTGAGTAACAGCTGGCCATTTGCATTTGGTAGAGGAAGTGAGGGGAATTAAGTAACATTGCCCCACTTTATCAGACCCTACGAAACTGGATCTGAAAGGAGGCACCATGTGGAGTTCAGTTCTGGGCCAACACAGTTTATGCCATAACTATTATGCCCATAACGTGCACTAGTTCTTAATTTTGTGATACAACCATGCTTAATTGCCATTAATGTAAACATATTTTAAAAGCGTATTTTTCTGCTCTGTAGGTCAATGGACCTAATGTAGCTGATCTAAGTGGCTTTGATTTGTTTTAATTAGCTGACTGGTTTCCTGTTTATTTCATGGAAATAGAATTGGTCCATCGCACCGGGTGTATATAAAGGGTCTGAAGGTCCCAAGTTGAGACCTGAATCTGCTGGAGTCCTAAGTGCTACATCAGAGGACCAGGAAGGTAAGAAGCTAAAATCCAATCTCTTTATTTTTGTAATCTCTTCTCTAAAATAATAGTGTGATGGCAGCAAAGGGCTTTGACATTCTCAGGTAGAAGGAGGTATAAAAAGTAGGAATGTAAGAGCTTCCTTACTGGTCAGATCAATGGTCCATCTAGCTTACTATCCTGTCTCTGACAGTGGCCAGTAACAGAGCTTCAGGGACAGTGAACAGAACAGGACAATTTTGGAGTGATCCACCCCTGTCTTTCTCTCGTAGCAATGAGAGGTTTTGGGTCACCTTAAGCATGGTGCTGCATCCCTGATTATCTTAGCTAATAGCCATTGATGGATCTATCCTCCATTCACTTATCTAGTTCTTTTTTGAACCCAGACATACTTTTGGCCATCCCAACATCCCATGGCAATGAGTTCCACAGGTTAATTGCATGTTGTGTGAAAAAGTATTTCCTCTTGTTGGTATTAAACCTGCTACCTATTAATTTCATCAGGTGACCCCAGGTTTTTGTATTGTGGGAAAGGGTAACTAACACTTCTCTATTCACTTTTTCCACGCTATTCATGATTTTATAGACCTTTGAACCGTAGCACACTAGTGGTTAAAAATCTCCTGGAATGATGGAAAACTTGCAGGCTTGTTGGTAAATTTGGCAGCAGTGAGGTAGAATATTCTGCACAAACGAGAAGAATCTTGGGTGACCAGGGGCTTTGTCTTATATAGGCAACTATCTCCCCCTACCCCTGAAAAAACAAAGTGTCCCTATTTTTCATACTTGCTATCTGGTCACCCTAGAAGAATCAGACGGTGCACTTACAGCATTGCACAGGACAATATCAATTCTTTAGAGCAGAAGCCAGCTGTCAAGAGACCTGGGGTCAGCTCTGTGCCTCTGTGGGGGCGCTGCATGGAAGGCTTGGTCTAAAGAAGAGGGGAGGGGTGTGTGAGGCAAAAGAGACTTTAAGCTTCTTTTTGTGTCCTTCCAATTCTGAACTGCTGTTGGGGCCAAAACAACCACTGGTGCAATCCAGGCAGCCCAAGAGTGGCTCTAGAATCAGATCATGGCAGCCTCACCAGGGCTGCCTGTGGCTTATGGTGCTAGCCCAGAATAGCTCTAAAGGACTGTCCTGTGTATGACCTTGCCACCTCCCATTCCTGGCTCCTCTCCCAGCATGCCCCCAAGAACATAAGAATGGTCCTAATGGGTCAGACCAAAGGTCCATCTAGCCCAGTGTCCTGTCTTCTGACAGTGGCCAATGCCAGGTGCCCCAGAGGGAATGACCAGAACAGGTAACCATCAAGTGATCCATCCCCTGTGGACCATTCACAGCTTCTGCCAAACAGAGGCTAGGGACACCATGCCTGCCCATCCTGGCTAATAGCCATTGATGGACCTTGGCCTCCATGGATTTATCTAGTTCTTTTTTGAACCCTGTTATGGTCTTGGGCTTCACAACATCCTCTGGCAAGGAGTTCCACAGGTTGACTGTGCGTTGTGTGAAGAAATATTTCCTTTTATTTGTTTTAAACCTGCTGCCTATTCATTTCATTTGGTAACCCCCTAGTTCTTGTGTTACGAGAAGTAGTACACAACACTTCCTTATCTATTTTCTCTACACTAGTCATGATTTTATAGACCCCAATCTTATCTCCCCTTAGCTGTCTCTTCCAAGCTGAAAAGTCCCAGTCTTATTAATCTCTCCTCATATGGAATGCGTTCAATAGCCCTAATCATTTTTGTTGCCCTTTTCTGAATCTTTTCAAATTACAATATATCTTTTTTGAGATGGGGCGACCATATCAGCACACAATATTCAAGATGTGGGCATACCATGGATTTATATAGAGGCAACATGATATTTTCTGTCCTATTATCTATCTCTTTCTTAATTATTCCCAGCATTCCGTTTGCTTTTTTGACTGCCGCTGCACAGTGAGTGGATGTTTTCAGAGAATGATCCACAATGACTCCAAGATCTCTTTCTTGAGTGGTAACAGAATCGGAAAGCATAATCCCATCATTTTATATGTATAGTTGGGATTATGCTTTCTGATGTGCATTACTTTGCATTTATCAACATTAAATTTCATCTGCCATTTTGTTGCCCAGTCAGCCAGTTTTGAGAGATCCTTTTGTAGCTCTTCACAGTCTGCCTGGGTCTTAACTATCTTTAGTAATTTTGTATCATTTGGAAATTTTGCCACCTCATTGTTTACCCCTTTTTCCAGATCATTTATGAATATGTTGAATAGGACTGGTCCCAGAATAGATCCCTAGGGGACACCACTATTTACCTCTCTCCATTCTGAAAACTGACCATTTATACCTACCCTTTGCTTCCTACCTTTTAACCAGTTACCAATCCATGAGAGCACCTTCCCTCTTATCCCATGGCAGCTTACTTTGCATGAGAGCCTTTAGTGAGGGACCTTGTCAAAGGCTTTCTGAAAATCTATGTACACTATATCCACTGGATCCCCTTGGTCCCCATGCTTGCTTGCAATGCAATGCTTGTTCTGGCGGAATTCTCCTTTGGCTCCTTGTAGGCTGCTTATGGCCCCTGTATACCATCGGAATAGCATATAGAGGCTGATGGGGGTGGGGAAGATCCTTCCTCTAGCATCTTGCCATGGTGGAAAGGCTTGTGTGTTCCGGTGACCCAGGGAGGTATGTTGGTGGGAGTTTTAACTCCTGGCAGGGCCACCCAAGCTGGACAGGTCAAAGGGTAGGGGCCAGACGAAAAGCAGACCACTTGCCTTTCAGGTTGGGAGTGGAGGGACAAGCCAACAGCCCATCCTTGTAAACAAGTTAAGTTATAGTGACATGACAAGGTAGCAATGCGGGCAAACTGTATGATCGAGGGGGCCGGCAGAGCCGTTTTTATGCCGTACGCAGTGGCTGATAGTGTGGGAGGAATTTGGATTCAGAATTTCATATCAGAACCCCAATCCTGCAATACCGTTAAAAACATCGTCACATTACTGCTCTGACTCAACTCTGAGTTTCATAAAGTCTCTTAACCGTTTAAACCTTTTTCTCCTGGCTCGGGTAAATTTAACATAATTTGGGAATGTTTTACTACGTTTTCCTTCTCTTTCATACATGGTAAAATTCTACCCCTAGCCCAGCTTGACCAAAAATTACCTTTTAAGTAAAACAATGTTCTTCCACAGATTAACTATTTTTATATATGTAACAAAAAGCATTTGCAAAAAGGAACAACACCAGTTATTTTAGCTTTATGCCTTTTAAAATTCAAAATTAATCAAATACTATTCAACTTTGCATTTCATGTAGATTCTTTTTGTAATTCTTTAGCACATTCTGTAAACATTTGTCTTCTATTGTTTTAGATATAAGCATTTGAGGGGTTGTTGTTTAGCTATACATTTGATTTAAATATGAAACATTAGATTCTTGATTCATTTGATCTTGATACATTTGATTTAAACACTATCCCTTTGATTTAACCACTATAATGTGATCTTGATTCATTTGATTTTTGATATATTTGATTTAACCACTATACCTTTGATTTAAACACTATCCATCTGATTGCTTTTCACTTAATAAAAGGGCTTCACAAATACTTTTAAATGCTCTGTTTTTTCAGAAGTGAAAAAGGTGTCATTCATGAAACAGCATCTAAAATTTTCACAATTTCTGTAAAATCATAAGTAAGGGACTGATCTTGGAACTATTTAAGAATATAAGTAACTTTATTTATGTGACTAAAGTTACTCTCATATAAAAGTGATTGCTGGACTGGACACCTAAATGCTGATATATAATGATCTTTTTTATTGTTGTTAATAATATTAAAACTCAGCACAGCAGCACATTTCCCAAAATATCTGTAAAAGAGAGTGAGATGCTGAACAACAAAATGTTTTCAATGTGTTTTGCTATAAATACAATGAAAAGACAGGATGATATTTTTGAAAAGCACTTGGAGAGCTGAGATGTTAATTCAAAGCAGTCAAATGCCCAATGCGTTTTGAATTTAAATCTGGAAAAAAACACGTGGACTAGTGACAACTCAAAGACGATAGCTTCTTGGGGACTGATCCAAAGTGCTTTCAAGTCAACAGGAGCCTCTCCATGAACTTCAATGGACTTTGGCTTATATCTTTAGTCAAAATCCTACCCAACTGAATGGAAAAAGGCCCGTTCATTTAAATAGAAATTAGATTGGGCTCATAAATCCTGCAGAAATGTTACATAGAATAATCTTCCTATCAGGATGTCATATTATTACCATTTATTATGTAAGGCCTAATCTGAAGCTATTGAAGTCAATGGCAAGACTCCCACCCATTTCACTGGGCTTTGGAGCAGCCCCTAAAGCAGCATAGGGGTACGCAGCCCTTTTGCAAACATGGAGGAAGATAGGGTCTTTGTGTTTGTCTATGCTAGGGGCACTCCGGCACCTTGGCTATGCCATTATAACCCTGTAGTGTGGATGCAGGCTACAGCAACGGATGGGTTTTTCTGTTGTTGTAGGAACTCCACCTCCCCGAGGGGTGGTAGCTAGGTCTATGGAAGGGTTCACCTGGTGCCCGAGCCGTGTCTACGCCGGGAGGTTAGGTCAGCATGGCTGTGTTGCTCACAGGTGTGACTATTTCACACTCCTTAGAAATGTAGCTCAGCCAATCTACATTTTAAGAGTAGACCAGGCCCTTGCCTCAAGGAATTTACAATCTACCATGTATTGATGATTCCGATATAAAACCGTAAAGTGGCAGGGAATGGCTTTGGGTATGGTGTGTGCAGAAGTCACTTTGTGTTCAGGAGAGACGAGGCTGTTCCAAGCATAGGGATAGGATTCATGCATTACAGTCACACACGCAAATTACACACATCTCCTTCAGCTTGCTTTCCTGTTCGTAGATCACTTGGTTGTCTGGCCTTGTTGGTCATCTGTATTGCTCACACTTTCCGTCTTCCTTCAGAGAAACAAGCCAGGAAAATGGTGTCCTTGAAAGTTCTTGCTCTGCTCATGGTCTCTCTGAGCCTTGTTCTGACAGAGGAGAATGACTTCAGGTAAGCCACAAACATTTTCAGTGCACTTTAGACCTCCAGTGATTTCACTGGGCACTGGATCAGATCCTTAGCCAGATCTCACATAGTGTATCTCAGTGCGCAGAGAGGCGAGCAGAGAGGATGATCAGGTATAAGGGAGATTTGTCAGCCAAGTGCCCTGAGCACAGGGATGGGAGCCAAGAATTCCTGAGTCCCCAGCTGCAAACTTCACATGCAAATGAGCTAGAAATAAACGAGGATGGCTAATTCCTCAGGGGTGACAGGCTTGGATGGCTCTCATGTATTGAAGCTGGTAAAGCCAAAGGCAATTATACAAAATGGACATATGATATAACTCCTCCCCCCCGGCCCCCCGTAAACTCACTCCCACAGTGGGACACAAGTGACTCCCACTGAAATCAACAGGAGTTACTTGTATCCTGAGGGATGGAAGGAAAGGTGGGAAAGGAGGATCCGGCCCCTGTGTACTTCACTAAGTTGGGCAGGCACTGGGGAGCCTCGTCATGGCACTAGAGATATTGCAGCTGGTAATGAAATGTCACTAACCACAGTCATGAAATGGGGCATTTGCCTTGAGCTAGAAGCAGGGGGGCCTTTGCAATGTTTTCTCTCTGCCTAGCCATGATTCGCTCTGTGTCTCTCCTGCATTCTCAGTGCCAACCCAAAGAGTCCCAGCACCAGAGCCATACAGCGACGTTACTCCGAGGCCATCCTGGCCAGCGATTACAGCCGGACCATGGATAACATGCTCAAGAAGAACTTTGTAGAGTGGCTGTTGGCCAGAAGAGAGAAGAAAAGCGAGTGAGTCTTTAGTGTTGCCGTTGTCCAAATTTCAGGCTGTCGTTGGCCACACGGAAGCGTATGGAGAGTGCAGAGCCCAGAATATGTTTCTTGCATGACAGCAGCAATGTTGTGGGTGCTTGAACCCCAGGAAATGCTTCTGTTCCATGGGGGGGACACAGCACAGCAAGTCTCCCCTTTGCTATCTAAGGCTGCCTCCTTTGACAGCTGTGCTGCTGGTACATGGCATGGGGAGGGAGATGTGGCTCGGAAATCAAGGAAGGGAAGTATGTTACCACACTCTGGTGGAAACCCAAGGTCAAGTCCTCTTTGAATTTTGCCTTTCCAGGAACGCCATCGATCCATCCAAGAGGGAAGCTGAACCCCAAATGTCAGTTGTCAGTGGCCCAGGCTTGGAGCTGGCCTCCCAAGGGGCTCAGGACTTCTTTGTCTGGCTTCTAAAAAACAAAAGAAAACAGAGGTGAGTTCTGTGACTGGAGAGCTATTTGATTGTGGAATAGTATCCCCATTGCAGGACGGGATCCCCAGTGGTTGAGTGATTTGAAGGAACACTTTCAGATTATAAAGCTTTGTTAAGAATTAGAGAGAGTTGAAACTTGGCATTTCCGATCTTTAATTGGGACGCTGGTAACAACATGACACACAACAACAAATTCTGCTGGAAAACAAAGTGTATCCCTGGTGAATTCCAAATGCAACTGTCAATTCGTTCCATTCATGGCCCTCACTTTTATGCACGGCAGAAGGTTTAGGAACAGGTGTGGGGGTGTCAGAGAGTTTGTAGAATACCCCACACCCACAAACACACTGGTCACCATGCACCCTAGAACTGCAAAGAGGAGTGAGCTCGACCGACGGACGATCAGTGCCACATTAATGACTCTGTCTGAAGGGCTTGTCATGTCGGAAAGGGGTTAAGTCACTCACGTTTCCTTCCTGGTTAGTCAGCAGGAACGCCCACAGCCGTTGAGATGTCCTCTTCATTCTGCCTTCCTCACTGAAGCTTTTATATTGCACAAAAGAGCCTGGTTATTAAGACCAAAACACCCTTTAATTTAAACTGCCTGTCACTGCTTATGGCTTTGCTGGGATGCTCAGACAGCAGCTTGGGGTCTTCTATTAAGGAGCAAATGACCGAAGGGAGATTGTCTTGCCTGCTGCAATAACCAGGACTCCAAGTGGCATCTTGAGGGACAAGCCTGGATCCATGCAGGATTACCTAGATCAGGTCCAGATTACCTAGATTGGTCCAGATCAGGAGGCAGAGATTTATTTGGGAGGTTCCTCAACACGGGGGGTAAGACGGAGGGAAAGCCATGCTGTGCTTTCAGAGGGAAAGAGCGTGGAGTGATACATTTCGTAAAGGATAATGCGGAGCATTGAGAGAGGCAGAGAGGAGGGAAACACATGCCCCTGACTGGGGAGTCCTTGAACAGTTAGAGCCAGACAGCAGGTGAATTCAGACACGACCCTGAGCTGCAAAATTTGAATCTCGCTCTAAACTTTCCCATTCAGATCCAGGGGGTTGATCTGGGCCCAACTGAAATTCTCTTGGTTTTACCCTCTGATAAGAGAATCACTGTCCAGTCTGCCCAGCAAAGCAAGTTCTCTTTGACATTGGCACTGCTACCTGTGCAAAAATTCTCACCTTCAAACCTCTCTTCCGGGCAACCTGAATTGCATGAGCAAATTTTCTAGTGAAGACAAGACTTTGAAGCGGAGAAGGAAGCTTGCTCTGCCAATGCCCCATCCTGTACCTGTCCAGTGTAAGACTCCAGTCTCCAGGGCTGGCAATCAAACATCTTCCAATAGCACTAAAGCGAGTGACTATATTTGCAAGCGAAGGAAAACACAAAGCTGCGGGTCATGGGGGGAGATTTGTATTCCTGGCTTCTTATCAAATCCCTGTTCCTCTGATTTACATTTGTTGCAGTCTTACTGCTCCCAAAGAATCTGATCACTTGAAAGACGTTCTGAGCCCGGAGCTATTGGCGTGGCTGATGTCTGCTGATCTCTGCAGACCAACGTGAGTGGCTGTTCTTCCTATTCCTGTTTTTTAATGCTTCTCTTCAGTTCCCATCCCCCTCGCTCTCACTGTACAAATAGCTGCATAGAAGTGCTGGGCTGCTTTGGTGACAGACTTTAGATTTCTTCAGCTAATGTTCAGGTCAGATCATTAGCTGCCCTGGCACAGCCCAGGAATAATGTCTTCACCCCACCTTAATAATAACATAACATACAGGTTTCAGAGGAACAGCCGTGTTAGTCTGTATTCGCAAAAAGAAAAGGAGTACTTGTGGCACCTTAGAGACTAACCAATTTATTTGAGCATGAGCTTTCGTGAGCTACAGCTCACTTCATCAGATGTATACCGTGGAAACTGCCACATAACATACATGAGAACAGCCACACTGGATCACACCAATGGTCCATCAAGCCCAGTATCCTGTCTTCTGACAGTAGCCAATGCCAGAGGTTTCAGAGGGAATGAACAGACCAGGGCAATTATCAAGTGATCCACCCCCTGTTGTCCAGTCCCAGCATCTGACAGTCAGAGGCGTAGGACACCCAGAGCATAGGGTTGCAGCCCTGACCACCTTAGCTAATAGCCATTGATGGACCTATCCTCCATGAACTTATTTAATTCTTTTTTTGAACCCAGTTATACTTTTGGCCTTCACAACATCCCTTGGCAAGGAGTTCCACAAACTAACTGTGTATTGTGTGAACAAGTATGTCCTTTTGTTTGTTTTAAACGCGCTGCCCACTAATTTCATTGGGTGACCCCAGTTCTTGTGTTATGTGAGGAAGTAAATAACACTTCCCTATTCATTTCTCCACCACATTCACGATTTTATAGACCTCTGTCATGTCCCACCTTAGTATCTCTTTTCCAAAAATCCCAGTCTTTTAAATCTTTTCTCATATGGAAGTTGTTCCATGCCCCTAATAATTTCTGTTTTCCTTCTCTGTACCTTTTCTAATTCTGGTATATCTTTTTTGAGATGGGTTGCCCAGAATTGCACTCAGTATTCAAAGTGTGGGCATACCATGGATTTATATAGTGCCATTATGATATTTATTGTCTTATTATCATTCCTGACATTCTGTGTGCTTTTTTGGCGGCCGCTACACATTGAGTGGGTGTTTTCAGAGAACTATCCACAATGAATGAATAGTAAGAGGGGGGCCATGATAAAAGGATGTAAAATAAGGAACGGTCTAGGGAAGGAAGATCAGGAATTTCTGTTCTCACAGTCTCATAACACAAGAACAAGGGGGCATTTGATTAAACTAAAAGGTGGGAAATAAAAACTGTTTAAAGGAAATATTTTGTCACACAACATGTGATTAAACTGTGGAACTCACTGCCACAGGAAGGTGTTGAGGCCAGGAATTTAGGAAGATTCAAAGATGGATTGGACACTTAGAAGGATATCAAGAATATGTACCACTGTCATAATTAATTATGACAATTTTCAGAAGGGATATTAAGCCTTGTGCATCAGGGTTTAAGCTGATCTCTTTTAGAGACCAAGATGAGACCTGGAGGGTGGGGGACAGATTGTCTCATATCTGCCTACTGTGGGGTTCGTGCACCTTCCTCTGAAGCATCTGCTGCTGGCCACTGTACTTGTCAGACTTTGGATCTGATCCAGCCTGGCAATTCCTGTGTTTCACCTTGACATGTCATGAATTCTGGGAAGGTCTGGGAGTCCCTGCAGCTCCCTGTGTAAGTTAGAGCAGTCCTAGGGAAAGGAAAGACTCTCATTGACTTCAGTGAGCTTTGGATCAGGGCCTTGGTGCCCATTGCTCTGCACAACAGTGTGTGTAGGTGGGTATTTAACAGCCAAGAACAACAGGGTAAAGGCCTATTCTTATGAGAAGTAAGATGCTTAGATACAGAGGTGATGGGCACCTTAGAAATGCCATAGAAAGAAAGCTGGAGAGGATCTGTAATATCCACCCAGAGCAAGTAGAAGCTTGGGCCCAGCTCCACAAAGTTATTTAGGCTACTAACTTCCATTGATTTCAATGAAAATGCAGATCTGGGCCTGTTTCTAGATACCATCTAGGAGACCCCAGCAGGGTAAGTTGCACGGAACGCTGTTTAGAATGATGGGCTCCTCCTGAATTCGAACCCACAGCTCAGAGAGAGAATTATTCCTGCCCCCCCACTCCAAAAGGCTTGAATATAGCAACACATAACATTATTCCTTCTCCCAATTATCTGTTTTCCCAGGACCCAGTAGCCCCAGGACTCTCCAGAGGAGCTGTCTATGCACTCTAACAACGGACGTGTTAAGAATGAAGAAGGATTTTGTAGCCACTTAGCTCAGTATTCCCCCTCTGTGCATATTGTGCTCTTTGCTACTGTAAACAATAAAGAAGGTAGTCTGAAGCTGAAATGAGACTGAGATTTTTTTTTTTTAATTAATGGAAATATGACAGGATGACTGGGAGGATTGCCAACCCTCCAGGATTGTCCTGGACTCTCCAGGAAGTAAAGATTAATCTTGAATTAAAGATTATGCCATGTGATGAAACCTCCAGGAATACATCCAAGCAACATTGGCAACCCTACCAGTGGTCCCTTTTAGAGTGAGTGGGCTCCAGGGTACCAGTGATTGGTCACCTTCTGCTGAAGTCGGTCTAAGGGACGGCCCCTGAGCCTTATATAGGGAGGAGACACAAAAACAAGGAGGAGAAAAAGGAAGAAGGTAAGTCTAGTAAGAGGCACCCAGAGTCCTGTGCTAGAGAAGAAGCTCGTCTCCAGAGAGAAAGCTCTGAAAAGCTGGGGAAAGGTGTCAGGGTGCAGATAATGCTTAAAGAAGAAGTTTGTCTCCAGATTGAGAGCCTGACAAGAGATCACCTGGTGAGGGGGCAGTGGGATGTCTAAGCATTGATTTAAGATGGTTCAAGGAAGAGTGGAATTGTTGAACTGGAGAAATTGAAAGAAGGAGAGACTACTATTGTCTCCGGACTTTGGGGTTTAGGACAAGGTGAATCCTCCTGTCTGTGCGAGTGAGAAGGTGACTTTGTCCCAGTAAAGAAACCCAGGTTGGGCATCAGCATGGATCATCCTGGTGTAATTCTAACGTGGAAGCCCTAACTTGTGGGGAAACTGAGGCAAGAAAGGTGCTGCAGAGCCACACTTGGCCAGAAGGGGCTATCCCAGGGCAGGCACGCTCTTTTACAGGGAGATATTAAAAGAACAACAACACTGTGCCCTGGCAACCAAGGATCTCCAAGAACTTTAGGAACATTTATTAATTTTACCCTCGTTTTACAGATGGGCAAATTGTGATACAGACAGGTTAAAAGCCAGATTTTTAAAGGCCCAGCTCCGATTTAGGTACCTGACTAAGGGCCTGATTTTCAGAAGTGCTCAGCAGGCTGATCCCTTCTGCAAGTCAAGCCCTGACTGGGGGCAGTGACCTTTACTAAAAACTTAGCGGTAAATGGCCTGCCTAAAGGCATAGAGTGAGTCTAGGGCCGAGTCTGAAACAGAACCCAGATCTTGCCTATGCTCAGCCCTATGTCATAACCACAAGACAACCTTTCCTGTCCACACTCTTGGTTCCTCTTGCACACGTGTATATATTATCATCCCAGTAGGGCTGGGCAGGGCCGAGACTGGAAGTCCATTGCAAAATAAATCCTTTGTTAGAATCCATTTTGGAATTAAAAATGGTTGCCTGCAATTGTTCTGGGCCCTGATACAGCAAAGCACTTAAACCAAGCATTGCTGAATTCACACCTGAGACGTTTCAGGATTCTAGTTTGATTGGCTCACCGCTAGAGGGAGGGCTTATAAAATAAATCAAGGAACACACTTTACCAAGCTCAGTTTACTATGGTAGGACTACATTTATCCATGGTGTAACTCAGCTGAGGCTGGCTCTATGCTACATAGTTTTGCCGACACAGCTATATCGGTAAGAGGTGTGATCCTCGACTGCCATAGCTGTACCAGCAAAAGCCCTTTGTGCGGGTGCAGTTATAACGGGAAAGACTGCCCTTTTGCTTGTTTCACTGGGGGGGGGGGGGAAAGAAGGGAGGGTGGAATCAACTAAGGGGGGATATGATGTAGATCTATAAAATCATGAATAGTGTGGAGGAAGTGAATAGGGACATGTTATTTACCCCTTCACATAACACAAGAACCAGGGGTCCCCCAATGGAATCAGGTTTAAAACAACCCTAAAGAAATACTTCTGCACACACTGCACCATCAACCAGTGGAACTCCTTGCCAGGGGATGTTATGAAGGCCAAAAGTATATCTGAGTTCAAAAACAAATTAAATAAATTAATGGCAGATAAGTCCATCAATGGCTATTAGCCAAGATGGTCAGGGATGCAACCCCATGCTTGGAGTGTCCTGAAGCCTGACTGCCAGATGCTGGGACTCGATGACAGGGGATGGATCACTTGACAATTGCCCTGTTCTGGTCATTCCCTTTGAAGCGTCTGATATTGGCCACTGTCAGAAGACAAGATACTGGACTAGATGGATCATTCATCTGACCCTGTATGGCCACTCTTATGTTTTGCTGGTATAAGTTGCATCCACATTAGGAACCCTTTGCCAAATACTGTATACCAATATAGCTGTACCAGCAAAGCTCTCCTAGGGTAGACTTGGCCTGGGGTTAATGACAGTATCTCATGAATTTGGACCCATAATACAGCCTCATCTAAGGAATGTGCAGGGCACGTTGTCAAGATACCACTGTGTCAGTCTCCTCTACTGGTTGATGCATGGCCTGGGTAAAAGGATTGCAACCCATTTCACTGTGGACACGCGTCCATGCCATTTAAACCAAAAAAAAAAAAAAAAAAGACACAGTGTTCATTGTCACCTCTGCAGGCAGACGCAGCAGCAAGGCCAAGGACTGAATGGAGACTGAGCTGCCCTTTCAGTCCTAGAGAGGTCTGCTACAGCTCAGAGTTGAGACACATTGGCAGGAGGTGTAAACTTGTCCAGCTACTATGCACGCTATTCCTGCTGCATGGCTAAATGGAGG